GTGTGAGGGTAAGAGCCGCGGGGAAGTTGGCGCCGCCATGGAGCCTGCCCCTCCTCTCTCCTCAGGGCGCATCTCTGCAGAGGGGCTGGGGGCCAGCGTGGTCTCTCTGAGCAGCGAGAACCCCTACGCCACCAATCCGCGACCTGCCCAGCCTGCTGGGGGGGGCCCGGGAGAGCAGCTACATGGAGATGAAGGGGCCCCCCTCGGGGGCTCCCCCTCGGCCGCCTCCTCAGCACCGGGAAAGCAAGAGGAAGCGGCAGCCCGACCCACAACAGGACCGCGTGACGCCCCCTGACCCACGGTGAGCGCCAGACAGGGAGAGGGACGCAGAGGGGCGGCCCGAGGGGAGAATAAGGTGGCGGCAGCAAGTCCTTGGAGCTCAAACTCAAATACGGGGAAGTCACGTGGCCTCTCAGAGCTGGGGTCTGAAGTGGCGGGGCAGCACTTGAGTGCTGGAGTTGGTTCCCAGAAACGCAGGGGACAGGGCAGGTGACAGAGTGCTGTCATATCCTGTGGGTAGGCGGGGACCACTGGCAGCCGAGGAGCTGAGAGGGGCACCGGCCTCTGCCCGGGTGTATCTGCTTCTCTTTGGGCAGAAGAGGCCAGAGAAGGGAGGAGTGGAGGAAGGGGGCACCACCGCCATCACCCTGTACCCCTCTGCCTCCAGACCGAGACTCAGTGGGCTCCCAGCCCCCGCTGCCTCCAGGCCTGCCCCCTGGCCACTACGACTCGCCCAAGAACAGCCACATCCCTGGACACTATGACTTGCCTCCGATACGGCATCCCCCGTCACCCCCACTTTGGCGCCAGGACCGCTGAGGAGCCCAGATGGTGTGGCAGAGGCCAGCACGCCTGGCCTTAGGACCCAAGGCTGGGGACAGAGCCTGGCATGCCCTGCCAGGAGCAGGGAGGGGCCGGCAGGCCATGAGCACGTGTACCTGCCTTAGAGGAAGTGGGTGGACAGCCGGGAGCCTGGTCCAGGTTCCAGCATGGAGACACCGGCCTGCAGACATCTGCTTCCCTCCCCTGGCGCCGCTCCCCAAGGCCCCCAGGGCCCCATGTACATCAACTGGTGGGTCAGGTTCAGTGGTGTGATGACTGACCAGTCTGACTTCAATGTGTACTGGGTACCTTTTCCTTGCACGCTGAGTAGGGCAGTGTGTGTGTGTGTGTGTGTGTGTGTGTGTGTGTGCGTCAGGCCATGAGCACGTGTACCTGCCTTAGAGGAAGTGGGTGGACAGCCGGGAGCCTGGTCCAGGTTCCAGCATGGAGACACCGGCCTGCAGACATCTGCTTCCCTCCCCTGGCGCCGCTCCCCAAGGCCCCCAGGGCCCCATGTACATCAACTGGTGGGTCAGGTTCAGTGGTGTGATGACTGACCAGTCTGACTTCAATGTGTACTGGGTACCTTTTCCTTGCACGCTGAGTAGGGCAGTGTGTGTGTGTGTGTGTGTGTGTGTGTGTGTATGCGTGTGCGGTTTCAGAGGGGTACTTAGGCAGACGCCATCTACGTAGTTGAAGGCAGCCCAAACCCAACAAGCTCCAGCAGTGGCCGCTGACAGGCTCCCTGCCTGCCCCGGGTAACTCTCCCACCTGCTGCCCAGGATGCAAGCTGGTCAGGGCCCTCCCTGAGAGGATGCATGGGCACCTCTTTGCTCTTGGGTCAGAGTCAAAAGGCATTTTGTTTGTTTAATTTTGTGTACACTGTGTACACTGCGCCAGAGAGAGAGGGAAAGTGAGAAACCAGTCCCGGGGGGATGGCCACGCCGCAAGTCCTTCCTTCTTCATTCTTTTGGGATTCTGGGCACACGTGCACACAAAGGCCAGTGTGCTGCCTGGTCTGGGACTCGAACCACAGTCAGCCAGGTAGGATTTAGCTGGCTTAACCACCATGCTACCTGGCTGGTTCCTAGAGTCAAAGCCTTAAAGGCCCTGGTGGCCTGGCCCATCTCTCTCTCTGGCCTTACCTTGAGCTGTGTTCCCTGTCACTCTGCCCCAGCTGCTCTGGCCTTTAGGTCCCCCTATCTGCCACCTTTCTTCCTCCCCAAGGGACTTGCACCTCTGGAGTGCTCCCCCCCCCACTCGTTACCTGCAGACCTCCTTCGTAGCAGTGAGGGCAGCGTATTCAGTCATGAGGTGCCTGCAGAAAGCCCCAGGTGCCAGCACCTCCACCGGCTGCTTCTCTAGGTGATGGCCCCTTACTCCCTGCCTCCCCCTAGACTGTAAGCTCCCACGGGCAGGACTCCTGAATTTATGCTCAGCATCTGTTTCCCCGGCACGTAATAGATGCTCAATAAATGCTCCCATAAAGGCTGTGTGCTGAGTGAATGAAGGGGCCCTCCAGGTTGTGGTGAACTGAAGGAGCCAACTGCTCTGAGAGTTAGCGGATTGGCATGTCAGAGGCCCCCCTTTAGGGGAAGGATGGAATTTCTACACACAGCACAAAGGTGGGCAGGGGCAGGGTGGAACGGAGCCCACGGAGGCTGGATGCGGGATGGCTGATGGGAGCAAGTATACTCAAAAAGGCCTGGTGAGGCGGAAGGGCAGGCAAGGGTCTCCACTAGTGCCCATGAGGATTGCGAAGCCAAGATTTGTAAGGAGCTTGACCTGCCCGCCCGTCGACCCATTCGCACCTCCAGGAGGATGGGGTTGGGAACAGAAAGCGAGCTCCCCACGGCTGGGCGGGTCTCCAGCACCCTTTCCACCAGGTGCTCTCCCCCTGCAGGATAAGCGGGTGGACCCCGAACAGTGGGCCTGCACCCACCGGACCCTCCCTTCCTAGCGTGCTCATCCTGCAGCCTTCCCTCTGAGGCTCAGGCACCCGGGTGACTTGGGATCAGCCAGCACCAGCCCTATCCCTCCCCTCTGCTCCCATCTGGGGTCCGCCCGCCCTTCGCCCTCAACCACAGCTCCGCCCAGCTCCTGGGTCACCCCAGCCTCTCTCCTTTTGCACAGGCTCAGCCTGGCCTGGCCCTTCAGGGTTCGCCTGCTCCTGTGACCTCCGGTCACCCTAGTTTTCTGCCCAGTTCGCCCCGGCCGGACCCTTCTCTCTTGCCCTAGCTCCGTCTCTCCGCAGGCTCTTTGCACCCCAGGCCCGGACCTTGCGGCGTCCCCTGTGGGCCCCGCGCGCCCTGCGGTTGCCCCTTTGCCGCGGCCCCGCCCATCTCGCGCGGTTGTCTTGGAGAAGGGACGCTGAGGCTTCGCAGCCCATGGCTGGGAGGGTTGACTGAGTGGACGCCGAACAGAGACCTCTGATTCAGCCACGACCACGGTGAGCCCCCCAGAGTCGGGTCCTGCTTCCCGGCCCCCACGAGGACCCCAGGAGCACCAGCATGGCGAGCGAGTCGAGCGCGCAGGCGCTCTCACCCAGGGCCCCGCGTCCGGGAGCCCAGAAGTCGTCCGGCGTGGTGACCAAGAAGGGAGATCGTGCGGCCAAGGAGAAGCCGGCCACCGCCCTGCCGCCGGTGGGCGAGGAGGAGCCCAAAAACCCTGGTACGCTGGCGGCAGGGTTGGGGGATCGAGCCTCCAGGTGCGGCTCTGCGGGTTTCCATCTGCCACTCACTGTCGGCTTAACTGAACTGAAGTACTTACCTCAGCTTGCTAGGCGATTCAACTGAACTTTCTTAAAAAAAAAAAGTATTTAACTTTATTTAGTTATTGACCTATTTTTTAAAATAATTCTTTTTTGTAACTATTTATTTATTTTAATTTGACCAGAGGGGAGCAGAGAGAGAGGTAAAGTGAGAAAGAAAGCTGCCAGGTCTGGAACTCCAGCGCCCTCAACCACCATGCCATCTGCCAGCCCCCCTCCCCCCACCTTTTATTTATTTATTTTTTAATGTTTTTGCTATAGGGCTCGTTCGCTCGCCAAAAAGACAGAAAGAGACAGAGAGACAGAAAGCAAGAAATCACCCCCCGGGGGGATGGTCACGCTGCAATCCCTTCTCCTCCAGTCTCCTCTCGGGATCTTGGGCACGCACGCACATGTGCTGGGCATGAGTTTAAGCCACCGGGTCTGGGACTCGAACTGCCGTTGACTACATGGGAGTCTAGCAACATAGCAATTACACCAACTGCTGGTCCCTATTTGCCTATTTTAATTTGCCCAGAGATAGAGCAAGAGGGAAAGTGAGAAAGCAAGCTGCCAGGTCTGGGACTAGAACTGCGGCCAGCTATGTAGGAGTTCAGCGTCCGTAAACACCACGCCACCTGCTGGCACCACCTCAGTTTGGGATGCTGGCAGATGGAGACGTGTGGTGAGATACATGAAAGAGGGGAGCCCAGGAGGGCTGCCAGGTTGTCGGGCCTTTGAACAGTCATGCATTCACTCATTTGCTCGACTATTGCCTTTAGAATGCTGCCCTGTGGCCAGGTGTGATTCAGAAGGAAATGACACAGTGCTGCCCCCACGAGATTTACATCCTCCTAGAAAAGGAAGTCCATTAGAATTGTATAGTAGGGGGGAACAGGTGGCGGGCTTGGTGGTTAAGGCTGGACTCCTGCATGGTCTATAGCGGTTCAAATTCCGAATCCAGTGGCTTGAAAATCATGCTGGGCATGTGTGTGTAGCCAGCATCTCAGGAGGAGAATGGAGGAGAAGGGATTGCAGTGTGGCCATCCCCAGTGGGGGGTGATTTCCTACTTTCCTTCTCTCTCTCTCTTTTTTTTTTTTTTTAAGAGAGATTTTTGCTATAATGTACATGTACTTGATAGAGACAGATAGCAAGAAATCACACACCTCCCCACCCCAGGGAGGTGGCCACACCACAATCCCTTCTCCATCTCCTCTTGGGATTTTGGGCATGCGCACACAGGAGCCCCTTGTGAGTTTCGAGTCTGGGACTCGAACCGCAGTCGGCTAATGGGAGTCCAGTGACATAACCATTACACCATGTGCTGTACCCTCCTTCTCTTTTTCTTTTTAGAGAGAGATTTTTGCTATAGGGCACGTGCGCTTTCCAGAGAGACAGGGACAGAGAGACAAATTGAGAAATCACCCCCTTAGGGTGAAATCGCACCACAATCCCTTCTCTTCCACTCTCCTGTCAGGATCTTGGGCACACATGCACGTGCTCGACCTGAGTTTTAAGCTGCTGGGTCTGAGATTCGAACCTCAGTCAGCCAAGTGGAAGTCCAGGAAGTCCTCTGGTCTCACTTTCCCTCTCTCTGTCTCTCTGGCAAGCACATGTGCCCAACGGCAAAAACAAAACAAAACAAAGTAAACACTTGCGTAGAAAAAGTCATATAGGTAGAGATATAGTAGTTTTTGTTGCAAGTGATAGAACTCCAACCAAGGGGACCAGCAAATGGCATGGTGGTTGGGGCGCTGGACACTGCCATATGGCTCACCACAGTTCAAGTCCTGGACCTGGTGGCTTGCTTTCTCACTTTCTCTCTTTCTCTCTCTGGTCAAATTGAAATAAATGAATGAATAAATAAAATTGAATAAATCTTAAAGAAAGAACTCCAACCAAAACTAATTATGTACAACTAAGAATTTATCGGAAGGATTTTTTTAAAATTATTTTGAATTTTATTTATTCATTTACTTATTTTATTTTGATCAGAGAGCCACACACAGAGAGAGAAAGTGAGAAAAAAGCCACCAGGTCCAGGATTTGAACCAGGGTTGACCATGTGGGAATGTCCAGCACCTTGACCACCACACCACCTGTTGGTCCCCAGGATTCTTCTTTTTAAGAGGTTTTTAAGAGTGTGTGTGTTTGGGGAACCAGCAGTTAGCGTAATGGTTATGTCGCTGGACTCCCACGTAGTCGACCGCGGTTCGTGTCCCGGACCTGGTGACTTGAAACTCACACCGGGTGCGTGTGCGTGCGTGCCCAAGATCCCGAGAGGAGAATGGAGGAGAAGGGATTGCGGCGTGACCATCCCCCCT